TTTATCTATATTTTTTCAATTTCATTATAATTGATATCATAAATTCAATTTTCATTTGAGTAGGAGTCAAGATGAATAATTGACCTACAATTGAGAAATTTCATGAAATCAAGTTTGAATTTTGAGAGATGCAGATCAAAAGATTATATGTACTACAAGGACTAAGAGGCAATACTAGAGGATAAGCATGAAGATATGGACAAAATCATCTTCAAGAAGATCGACAAAAATACAATAAGACGATTCGACTTTTCCTTTCGCAAAAAATGTTGCGTTTCACACAACAAATGTGGAATCGACAAAAACTATTCTGAGGATCTTATAGGATATGTACGAGCAATTCTCTACCAATAAAGTTTACCTGATGAAAAAACTATTCAACTTAAAGATGACCAAATATACTCTTATTGTTATGCATCTTAATGAATTCAATCTTATAACCTTGCAGTTGGCATCGGTAAAGATTGAATTTAGTATAAAGATCAAAGTTTAATTTTTTTGTCATCTTTTTTAGAAATTTTGGATGCAATAGTAAAAGAGGTGAATGCAATGTACAAAATAAAAATGTTGAAATTTGATACAACCATGGATTTAATCTTTAGTGAAGAAATCCAAATTAGTTTAGGTTCAAACACTAGATTTGAATTTGGATTTACCCTAAGCACTGAAAATAGGAATAAATATGTGGTAACCGGAAAAAAAATTGGGGAAGATTAAAATCGAGGCTAAAAAATAAGGTCGAGAAATACTTAGGTGGTATGTTTGAATTGTAAAATAATAAGATACTACAATCGATAGTGCAAGGATCCGGAGAAGGATCAAAATTTGGGGAATGCAGTGGAAGAGATATTTAACGATGTTGATTCTGAGTGTTAGAAATCCACTAAAGTCCCAAGTCTTTGACTCTGGGGGTCGTTCCATTCGTGCAGTGCACAACCTAGTTAGTCATGACCATGACTAACTACACCCTCTTGATATGAGAAATTAATTAAAGGCCCAAAAGTCCATCTACAAAATAATTAGGGCAAAAAAATTAAATAAAAGGGGGGAACACACGCCTATAGGAAAAGAGAACGGCTAGGGCAGAAACGCACAGGAGCAGGAGACTGACAGATTCATAGATCGCGCAGGAGCAAATCGACAGAGAAGATTTCCCCTTCCCACTATGACTTCATCTTTCTCTTTTATTCTTTGTTATTTGATTATGGAGTAGATACTTTTCTGGTTTGAGGGGTGATAATGTTTTGGTTCTTTTGTTTTGGAGATTCTTAATTTTCTTTATAAAAGTTCTTTTTGATTATTAATATTTGTTTAATTCTGATAATAGCGTTTGTGATTGCTAGATTGATTGAATATTTTGGTACCGATATTTAAGTTAGTCTGATAATCTAAAGTCAATTCAGGTAGGATATCCGTAATTGTATTTCCACTTGAATAGGTGATAACCGGGTTGAATAGTTCCTTCCCGGGGGTTAGACAATCAAATCTAATTGCTCCTCCTAGGTAGTAATTGTTTTGAATTGGGTTTTTCTATATTACAATGCGGTTAGGCAATATTCTTATGGGCGCACCTAGGTTTATTTGCTTAATTAGGGGTAGTTAACGATCGTACCTTAATTACCTACACTGTAAGGAAAAATTGGTTGTCAGAGCTTGTTGATAACTATAACCAATTTATTGATACTTTAATAAGAATTAACTTTATTGAATTTATGATAAAACACAAGTGCCATAACTGCATCATCCCTTTAGCCATGCATCTCCTTAATAGTCAGTTCCCCTTTCATTTAGATAATAAAAGAAAAATCTCCCTTTATTTACTGTTTAGAATACGAAATAGTGAATCACACAATCCCTGTGGAGACGATCCCTTCCCCTGTATTACATTAAATTGTGATCACGGATTAGGTGAAATATTTGATTGACTGCACGACAGGTCAACGAGGAGGATGACGAATATGAAAACAACTATGATGAAACTATTCCGCCTACTCAATATTATTAACAATTTTGTATAATATTTTTTTCCTTATAATGTATTCATTTGACATTAAAATTGATTTAATGTATTTTTTCATTTTACTATTTTAAAAAATATTTAATTTTACTATTTAAATTGTCTCGGAAATAATTTGTATTGATTTGAAACAATTTGTTTTGAAACTTTGTCGCAGAAAGTTGCAACAAATTTGTTTTTTTTAGCTTTTTGCAACCTTCCGCGACAAAATGTCATTAATGCATTTTAGCATTGTCGACAAAATTGTTGCAACCAATGCATTGTTGCGGAAGTTTGCAACAATTTGTTTCAACCTTCCGCGACAATGTCCATTGTCACGGAGAATCTAGTGCGGAACTAATTTCGTGATATTTTTGTGACAATTTATTAAATTTTTCGCAGAATAATATACTTTTCGCGACAAATATATCCACGATAATTGAATATTTTTCTGATAGTGTTTTTCTAGTAAAGCAATAATTAACTTATAATCCTTTAAATTATAAATTTAACTATATTATCTTAAATTAGTAATACTTCTCCTTTGTTTGTTTGGTCATAGTTGAATTTGTGATTTTAAATAATAAAATTTTAAAATTTAATATAATATAAATAGATATTAATATAATATTTTTAAATATTAAATAATTTTTAATATAATATAATATACTTTTAAATTTGAGATATTTTTTATATTAACTATGAGAAGCGTGTTATAATATAATTTTTTTTTATTCAATTTTTACAAGTTTGTAGAGTATATATATTACATTGATATGTATATATTTTATATTTTAATAATATTAATCATAGAACATATAAAAAAAAATATTTGTTGCGGTGTTTGATTTAATATTTTGGGTAAAAAAATCAGTAAATAATGGAACATGAATTTATATTTTATTTTATTTTCAAAACAATAAAAACCAAAAATTACGGTTTATTTGCTTGTGAGATTTTGGTTTTAAATTTTTATTTTAAATAGTAAAATTTTAAATTGAAATGAGCTTTTGATGTGATATAAATATGTATTATTGTGATTTTTTTTTTTGTAAAATTAAATTTTAGTATAATATAATAAATAAAAAATTAAATTAAATTTGATATTTTTTTTAAAAAAAATTAATACTAAAACTATTTCAAAATCTTACAAGTGCTATTAGTATTTAAAAATATTTTGTAATTTTATTATTAGTTATTGAAAAATGTAAAAATATTATTAAAATATTTAATTATATTATTTTGTAAAAAATAATGTATTATTTCCTCTGTCCGGTAAATTTAGCCACATTTATTTGTAGATTTACAAAGAAATTAGATTAAATTTGAAAATTGAGGAAAATATTATTAGGTACAGTAATACTTCCTCCCTTCAATAAGAGGGATAACATTTTCTATTTTTATCCGTAATAAAAAGAAAGTATTATTTTCTAATTTAGTAATTGTACTGCATACCTAACATAATAAATACTCTTAGAACTTACAATATATTACAGAAATCTCGTTACTTTTTTATTACAGCGTACTAATATGAATATTTTTTTATTTTTCACTACAAACCAATATAATACTAATATTTAAAAATATACATGCAAAAAGAAAAAAAAAAAAAGGACTAGTTGTAGGATGGATGTAGTATTATTTTGTGAAAGAGAAATCTATAAACTAATTTATCAAATTTATCATTATTAATAACTAAATTCAATTTATATTTCATTTTTCATATTTACTTTTTCTAATTTTATGTAAAATGTTATTTAAATTAGAAAATTTATAGTTTTTTATACTTTAATTATGTTTAGATTATTAAAATTATTTTATTTTATTTTTACCTAATTACTACTTCCTCCGTCCCACTTACCGTGTCTATCTTTTTATTTCCGCTCGTCTCATTTATCTCGTCACTTTTTTTTTTTTTGAAAAGAATTATACACTTTAATTTCATTTAAAAATATTTAATTTATACTTTTTTAATTTTAATTACACTAATTAGTTATTTTTATCTTAATCTAAAATTATTTTTTATTATAGGATAATTATTTTAACAAATATATTTTTAATTATTTACTAATTATACTCATTTTAAGTTCTCGTGTCTATAATAAATGAGACACAGTAGCCGGGACGAGGAGAGTATTTTACAATTGATATAATTTGTTTTCAAAATTAATTACAAAATATTAAACATTCAGCATAAAAACATAAAATATATATTTAATATTTTATTAAATAAAAATAATTAAAATAACAATACATTACAAATATTACATAAATTAATTAAACTAATTAACCATATAATAGATCATTTCTTAAACCATGCACTAAAAAAATATGAACTAATTTCATAAGGCGATTAAATTTTCTACAACTCCTAAAATGTCACTTCCTCAAGCTAGAGTACATATAAAATATATTGTTTTATCATTATTTTCTTAGAAAATTTAAATCTCATTGCTTTATTATTATTATTTTTTTCCGTACCATTTAAATTATCTAATTTATATTATAAACAAAGTTTAAAATATTGAATAATTAATAAGTAATTAAAAATATATTAATAAAAATAATTATAATTTAATAAAAAAATATTTATAAATTAAAATTAAAATAATTAAATAATTTAATTAAAATAAAAAAATTATAAAATATAATTATATTTTCCGAAAGTAACAAATTATAAGGAGAAACAAAAATATAGAAAAAATTGAAAAATTAAATAATACGACCAGAAGAGAGAGAGAGAGAGAGAGAGAGAGAGAGAGAGAGAGAGAGAGTATTATTCTGAAAAAATCTGGTTAATTTTTGTGCCTTTATTATCTCTTACCATAAACTCTGACTTTTTTAGATTACATTTACATTTACGTTTACATTGACATTGGGCCCCACCACTGCCACCTCCCAACCTCCATTCCCTTTCCTCTTTCCTTCTCCTTTCTCCTTCTTCTCCTCTTCATTATTCATCTCTTTTACTTTTCCCCTTCGCTCTCTCGTGAAACCCTAATTTCAACTGCGGCTTCATTAATTAAATGGATTCCGGCAGCCTGCACTCTTCCAGCACCGCCGGCGATGACGAGTACGATTCACGCGCCGCCGCCGCCTCCTTTTTCCAGTACGACCCATTTCCCAACTTCATAACAACGGCGCCGCCCGTCCACCAAAATCCATTTCCGACCACCCTACCCGGATCCGACCCAAATCCAGCTCCACCTGAACTCACCAACCCGCCGCCGCGGAATCCGAGGAAGAGATCCAGGCCCTCCAGGCGGGCTCCGACCACCGTGATGACGACGGACACCGCTAATTTCAGAGCTATGGTTCAGGAGTTTACTGGGGTTCCATCCCCGCCGTTGGATCTGTACGGTTCCAGATCACTCTTCCAGGCGCCGCAGGATATCCTCCGCCGTCCATTAGCCCGGAATAATCCTCAATCTCCGCCGGCGTTCCTCCATTCTTCTCCGACCAACAGCATAATCTCTTCGATTTCGTCAACAATCGGAACTGATCCAATCAATCACCAATTATTTCTCCCCCAACAAAACCCTAAATTTCTCACCTCAAATCCACCTCCCACGGCTGACTCCAAACCCCATTCAATTCATTCGAGATCCGACCTGGCGTCCTCGTCACGGCCTCTTGCCTACAAACCCTAATTTCTTCCCTCAATCAAATTCCAGCAGCGGAGAACAACAACAACAACAACAACGATGAAGGAGATCGAACCTGCAGGTTCGTCAATATTAGTCAAAAAATGAGGGAGGGATCTGCTGCAGGCATGATGGAACCGTGGATATGCTCGTCGTCAGAGTAGGAATCATTACTGCAGCGAAACTACTGTGATGATTACAAACTTTGAATTGAATGCAAAAGCTGATATTGTTCATCTCCTCATCTTATCTCATATCTTTAACCTTGATTTTCATGATCACCAATTTATCACTGCTTCAATATAATTAATTATATATGTGTAAAATAACCATGGTCTTCTTTTTGGATCCTTCTTCATCCATTATTCTCCATTACTCTATTATCATTATTGTTACTATTATTATGATTATTCCCGAATCACATACATATTATACTTGTAATAATTAATAAAGATCGAAAGCAACTGAATGTATTTAATAAATTAAACATTCAAGATTTGCTAAATTTTGTAAAATAAAATCAGTTGGAATAATGTGATAATAAAGACAAATTATCAAAGTTGTACAGATCTGTAGGAATATATATCTTGTGACTCTCGATGGATTGAGAATTTTATTAATTAATTGACTGGTTTATTATGTATGTTATAACTTTATTTTAGTTTGTCTTGTTATATATGGGTCTAATAATTTATTTATGTGTTCAATGAATTTGGTGTGAGAAATTAAATTAAAGTTAAGACTATCAATCAAATTAAAGTGTGAATCGTCCAACTAAGGAGAATCAAACTTATTTAATAATTTAATTAGATAAACCCCTTCGGGTTTAATTTTTCCAATCCTCGTACTTTTTCGGACTAGTTTATGAATATATTATGTTCGTGGGTTCATTGGGATCAGATAAATTGAATGGATAATATTTTTAATTATTTGTGCAATTAAATAATTAGGGTTTTTGAACGTTGGTTTGTTCCTTTATATTATTCCTCTTCTCTACTCTATTTTATCTCTCTATTTTTTTTTTTTTTCTCTTCTCCCTCTTTAAGAGAAAAAAAAAAAAAAAAGTTATAAGAAGTTTGAATTGAATGAATTGTGAATATTTCGTGTTGTACTTTGTTTATAATTGGTTCATATGTGTTTCTACTATATATATATATGTCTGTGAGCGTGCGTGCGTGTGTGTGAAAAAGCGGAGAGATCGACGGCGAGATTGTTAGGCGCCGCACCTAATATCGATGTAAGGATATATATATATATATATAATCTTTTCTTTTATTTACATATTTATATTTTAATATATAATATTTTATTTATATATTTCTTTTTAAATTCATATATAAAATATTTACTCTCTCCGCCAATGAAATATTTTTATTTGACTTTTTCAAGTGAATTAAGATAAATTAGTATTTTATAAATATATAGTATAATAAAATAGTTTAATGTTTATTTTGTCTTTAATATTAAAATAAAAGTATATGAAAAGTAAAAAGTAGAGTATTCCAGTATATTGTTAAAACTTACATGTACTCAAAAAAGAAAATGAGAAGTTGATTTGGACGTACTAAAACGGGAAAAAAAAATAGTTTACAGTAAAACGAAAGGAGTATTTATTTATTTATTTTTAACTCATAATTTTATATATTTATATTTTAAAGAACATTTGAGAACAAAGTTCGGACTCGTTCGTTAACAAAACGAGCCTAATTATATTATATGGCTTGGCTCGTTTACATTCACGAAAAGACTTAAATCGAATTGACTCGAGCCAAATTTACGAATGACTTGATCCGTTTAACAGGTCTAGTAAGCGGTAGATATTGAGGCTAAATGAATACCAAAAATTGGATGTGTGCATGCTTTCGGTGTGCATTCATTTATATTGGTATCATTGTAGTCGCTTAGAAACAAATAATAAAAAAAATGAAATGACATGAAATGCTGCAATACTTTTGTTGGACCCCAAATCTAAGACACCGAAGTATGGAAGCATCCTAAAGCTGAAGTTTCATCCAGAAGGTACACCTCCATAAAGTCAAGGGTTATTGCCTCCACATAGCCGAAAGCAACCTCCATTTACCTTGTTGCAGCAACTCCATGGACTATGGCGCCTCCATCCAGAGCAATGCCTTCATAAAGCCGAAGACTGCTGCTTTCACAGAGCCAAAGACAATAACTTCCATTGTCTTTAGGTTAACGGCTCCATAATCCACGACTACGCCAGTCCTAAGAACTTTGACTCTAGAAGCATGCGAGTCCAAAGAGACAATTCTGAGAGCCAGTTGTTTCCCACCGAATGTCAGTAGAGGATCCACATGCCTCCATGTTCCATTCAGAAGACTCCTCGAAGACAGGCTGTCAGAAGAAAGAACCAAAGACTCCATACAATTCGAAGCTGTTGGGGATAAAATTTTAGGGACCAGCTTAGGTATAATGGAGGCAAATCAGAGTGAGTCAAACGGTTGAGAATTAAAAGAGATGAGAGTGTCCAGGCGGTTTGAAGGATACAAAGAATAATTTTAATCGCATCCTTAGCAGTACGGGCGGTTACTAGATCCTAGGATTAAATCTAGTAAAACACATAGTACACAGACAATGCACAATGAAAGAAAATACTTTCAGTATTTTTTTTACTTGTTCTTGATTTTAGGTTTGGCTTTTATTTGTTTCCACAAATTATTTTAGTCGAAGTTAGATGTTTTCCGAAAATTCTTTTACTTGCTTTCCGTAAATTATTTTGATGCAACTTGGTTAATTGCATAAGATCTTAGCGATCCGATGATTGACATGCTCTCTGGAGTACTTCCGGAATCCACACCGACGGAATTGACAAACGGTCTTGGAGCATCAAAATTTTAGGCTCCAACAATTGGCACGTGTGGTGGGACCAAGTCGGGTTCGTGTTTGAGACTTCGTACTAGTAAGGTGATAGATATGGCGAATCAGAATCGGAGTTCAAGCATGAATGTGGCTGCAGGTAACACTGGATTAAGAACACCGGTTCATCCCAATGGAAGCCGTACCCTAGGGCTGAGAAGAGAAAAGAGAAATCATCTGCTGAAACGATGGTGAAAATGGTATCTAAAAAGGTGAATCATTGCATGCAAGCTGGAATTGGAGACAACATATGAAATTTCTAGACAACTAGCCGATGTGATTAGGCCGACTCTAAGGAACAAGGGGTTTCAAATTTAGGAAGAGGAGTGCTGAGTAGTAGCCAGTGGTGGGCAGAATTTTGGAAACTTGGGAGCTGTGTATGAGGGCCCAAGAGCAGGGACACCGTATGGTGGAGGAAATCCACCTCCTATAGGGAATTTTGGCCTAGGTTTAGGTCGTAGAAGTACTGGATCACCTAAAGGGCCTGCGAGCGGAAAAAGATTACAGTTTGGCAATGTAACCGTACTTCTCCGTCCGCAAGGACGGTAGACTGGTGGTGTCCACGGCCCTAAGGCTATTGGTGGCTCAAAATTTATGAGAAGTGGTGTTTATGGAGCTCCCTTGGGCACAACGCCGCAGGGTCAACCCACGGGACATGCTACATGGATTGCTCCGCCACAACCTTGGGTCCAGCAGGTCCTGTATGCCATTGCCCCTCCAGGAGGGATGGTTGGCCAAACTTGGGAACATGGAAGACAGCCTTTGGTTCTTAATCAACAGGATGTCCGACCACTGATAGATACTAATATCCTTGTGGATAGTATATGGAGGGCTTTTCCACGTATGAAGTTCGAAGAGCGGGCAATCGCGATGGCAGTGGATAATATGTGATTAAATCTTCAGGATCGTTTAGCGAGTGCCGTCACCCAGAGGAGCTGAAAGGGAAAACATATTGTAAGTGGCATGGAAGCTACAGTACATGCATGCTTGTGACACCCCGGCTCGCAAGCCATGCAAAGCCGAGTGTGTCGAGATTGCAGACTGGCCCCACAGGTCAACACGAGTCCTTCCAGCGCGCTTCTGTCCACACTCACGCACCCTGGTAAATCTCCCAAGGGGTCACCCATCCTCAAATTACTCTAGAACAAGCGTGCATAACTTTAGAATTTTCAGTAGGGCTTCCGAAAGGGATCTAGTTAAATTTGCAACGGTGAATTGCCGCAAAAGCCGATTATACGTATTCTAAACATAGTCATGTTTGTGCCCATATTCATGACCCTGTTCTCAAGACAGCTATGTTCTAGGCCATGTTCACGACCCTGTTCTCAACACAGCCATGTTCAAGGTCATGTTCACGACCATGTTTTCAATATAGTCATACTGTAGATTGCACAACTGCAAAATAAAGTATCAGTTCCTACGCCACAAAAAATTTGCAAAATGCAGTAGCTCAGTGAGTAGGGTCTTCTCTGCAGGGAACAATAATAATATTGAATATTTGGTTCCTAACTTTGTCGATAGCTAAGGTACAACCGTTAGCTATTTCCCTAATCGAGTGAGAATCCTAAATACGACCGTAGTTTTACTGACTCGACAGCTTTAAGTACTAGAAAGACCCAATTCAATTTAACAGAATTCCTATGCGGATTTGTTTAAAATTGATTCTAATTCTTCCCTAGAGTATTTCTCTAGGTTTCTACACCAATTGGAAAATTACACAATTACGGGTGCCAATCTCCAATTTAGCTACGAAATCTCAAATCAATACGTGCGCAATAATCAATTTAAGATGTCTAATCTTATAAATTAGAAGAATTACAAATACCAAATATCGATGAACACCAAATTAAACAAAATCAAGTCTCACAAATTCAATCCCAAACATAAATTCACACCTACGCTAGAAAGGAAATTACTCGAAATTCATAGGAATTGAAAACACAAAACAAATAAAGAAGTTCATCATGCCTTCAATTTCGAAATCGACAAAGAAGAACAATATGAGGATAGAAGAAAAACGCCCCGAAAAGTCGTCTGCAATCCTCTTCCAAGTTCTCCTCTCTTCCGTCGTGGTCTTCCTTCTTTCCCTTCAAATAATATGGTGTCGTGGTAAAGAACGTGGTAGTCCCCTTCTCTTCTCCTCTTCAATTGAAAAAATCGTGTCTCATCAAATCCATCCGAAGATCCCATTTTAAATAGATCCCCTTTGCACTTCAATCCTCACATACTCTTTATATTGTTAATTTACCCCAGATGACCTTTTTCCAAATTCCACATTTCTCACATTGTGTTGCATGATCACGCCAATAGCCTTTTTGCATTCTGCTCATTGTCTCCCAAATACACTCCAAGACATGCCAACTCGATGAAACCTATTATGCAATCAAAAACACATCATGAGTTG